GATTAGCCCTGAGCTAACATGTGCTGCCAATCCTCCTCTTTTTGCTGAGGAAGACTGGCCCTGAGCTCACATCCGTGCCCATCTTCCTCTACTTTATATGTAGGACGCCTACCACAGTATGGCTTGCCAAGCGGTGCCATGTCCGCACCCAGGATCTGAACCGGTGAACCCCGGGCCACCGAGAAGTGGAACGTGCGAAGTAACCGCTGCGCCACTCGGCCGGCCCCTCCCTTTATTCTTTTTATATCTAGAATGTGTAGTGATCTCACCTCTCTCTTTCCCAATCTTGGTAATTTGTCTCTCTCTTTCCTGGACAGTCTGGCTAGAAGTTTATAGAATTTGTTGTCTAAAAGAACTAGCTTTTGGTCTCATTGTTTTTCCATTTTCTGTTTCATTGGTTTCTGCTCTGATTTTTATTTCCCTTTTCTGCCTAGTCTAGGTTTCATTTGCTTTCTTTTTATACTTTCTTAAGGTGAAAACTGAAGTTATTGATTTGAGACTTTTTCTAATGTAAGCTTTTAATGCTATAAATTTTCCCCTAAGTACTACTTTAGTGGCATCCTAAAAATATTAATATGTTGTGTTTTCAATTCATTCAGTTCAAAATCCTTTCTAATTTCTCCTTTGATTTCTTCTTTGCCCTATTGGTTATTTAGAAATATGTTCTTTGGTTCTCAAATATTTGAGGGATTTTCCAGACGTCTTTCTGTTATTAAATTAATTCCATATGGTCAGAGAATATATTTTGTATGATTTGAGTCCTTTTAAGTTTGTTGCGACTTTCTCTGTGGCCTGGAATCTAGTCTATCTTATATCAAATTGGTGGATAATGTCACTTGAGTCTTCTGTATCCATACTGATTATCTGTCTACTTCTTCGTCCAGTGATGGAGAGGGTGGTATTGAAATCTCCTAGTAGAATTTTGGATATGTCTCTTTCTTCTTGCAGTCTTACCAGTTTTTATTCACATTTTATTTTTTGTGTGTGTGAGGAAGATTGGCTTTGAGCTAACGTCTGTTGCCAGTCTTCTTCTTTTTGCTCGAGGAAGATTATCGCTGAGCTAACATCTGTGCCAGTCCTCCTCTGTTTTGTATGTGGGATGCTGCCTCAGCATGGCTGATGAGCGGTGTGTAAGTCCGTGCCTGAGATCTGAACCTGCGAACTCGGGGCTGTCAAAGCAGGGCGCACCAACTTAACCACTTGGCCACAGGCCAGCCCCACTTTATTCACATGTTTTGAAACTCCTCTGTTAGGTATATAATATGCAGGATTGTTCTATCCTCTTGATGAATTGACCCCTTTGTCATTATGAAGTGACCTTCTTTATCTCTGTTAATATTCTTTGCTCTGAAATCTACTCTGTCAGATATTAATGTAGACCCTCTGGCTTTTTTTCCATTAGTGTTGGCATGGTATATCTTTTTTCATTATTTTACTTTTAACCTATTTGGGTCTTTATATTTAGTGTGGATATTTTTATGGGCAGCGTGTAATTGGGTCTTGCTGTTTTAGAATCCAGTCTGAGCCATCTCTGTCTTTTAATTGGTGGTTTAAACCATTTAAATTTATTATGATTATTAATAGCTATCTCCAAGTGATGTTATACCATTTCAGGTAATATATAAGAACCTTCTAGTTAGTTATTCCACTCCTGGCCTTTATGCTGCTGTTGTCATGCATTTTACTTATACAGACGTTACAAACCTCATAATACGTTGTTATTGTTTCAACAGTCAATTATCTTTTAAAGATATTTAATGAGAAAACTATAGTTCCTATTTTTGGTGCTCTTTGTTCCTTTGTGTGGATCCACCTTTTGTTCTGTCATCACTGTCCTTCTGCCTGACAGGCTTCCTTTAGCATTTCTTGTAGGGCAGATTGGCTGTTGATGAGTTCTTTTGGCTTTTGTATGTCTGAAAAAGTCTTTGTTTCACCTTCATTTTGAAAGATATTTTTGATAATTTTAAGTTGACTTTTTTTTTCTTTCAGAGCTTTCAAGTTTTTGCCCCCTACCTTGTTTCTAACAAGAAGTCTGATGTCACCCTTCTTTGTTCTGTTCTGCCTAATGTTTCTTTTTTTCTATGGCAGCTTCAAGGTCTCTGTCTTTACCACTGTTAGAATAGTTTTTTTATGGTGTGCCTAGGCATCATTTTCTTTGTTTCTTGTGCGTAGAGTTCAGTGAACTTCTTGGATCTGTGTGTTTTATGTTTTATTAGGTTTGGAAAAATTTTGGCCGTTATTTCTTTAAATGTTTTTTGTCACCTTCTCTCCTCCAATTACATGTATGTTAGATTTCTTAGAATTGTCACACAGCTCACTGAAACTGTTAATTTTAAGGAATTTTTTCTCCTTGTATTTCATTTTGTATAGTTTCTTTTGCAGTTTAAGATTCAGTAGTCTTTTCTTCTGAAATGTTTAATTTGCCATTAATCATATCCTTTGTATTTTTCATCTCAGACGTTATAGTTTTCATCTCTAGATGTTTGACTTTATATCTTCTGTTCTCTACTTTTCACACATACGGCATATGGTCATAACTGTTTAAAGTCCTTTTCTGCTAATTCTAACGTTTGTCTCAAGTCTGGTTGGTTTCAATTAATTGATTTTTCTCCTCATTTCCTCTCCCTTTATGTCTACTTCTTTGTATGCCTGCTAGTTTTTCATTGGATGCCAGACTTGTAAATTTTACCTTCTTGTGTGCTGGCTGTTTTTTGTGTTCCTATAAATTTCTTGAGCTTTCTTCTGGGATCATAGTGGAACTAGTTGGAAACAGTTTTGTCCTTTTAGGTCTTGTTGTTAAGATTTGTTAGGCAGACCCAGAGCAGTGTTTAGTCTAGGGCTAATTGTTCCCCGTTACTAAGGCAAGACCCCTGTGAATACTCTAGTGTCCCCTGAATTATGAGGTCTTCTACTCTAGCTGGTGGGACACAGGCACCATCCCTAACTAGCCACGCTGAGCATAAGGTTCTGTCCTCTCCTTTCGGATGACCCTTTCCTGGGCCTTGGGGTAGTTACTCACTCGCATGCCCTGATTAACTCTGCTGAATGCTTGGGGGCAACCCTCTGCAGATCTGTCATTGTTTTCTCTGTGCAGCTCTCTCTTGTCTGGCACTTTTCCTGTGAACTCTAGCTGCTGGAGATTCTCTCACCTACTTCCTTGGGCCATTGCTTCAAGTCTCCTCACCATCTTGGTTGATCTTCGTTGAATGAGTTACTGACTTGTCAACTGCTTCAAGTGACATCAAGTTGAATGTATTATTTGGTGATCTGTCTGGCATTCTGAGACCCAAACATATTAAAGAATTTACATAAAGTGTGTCAATTTTGAGAATTAGCTGGAAAATTTTAGCAGGTGAAAATTATAGAAAATCTTAGCTTGAATTTATCTAGTTTTCATAATTCAGAAAGAGAATGGTAGAGAAGATTTTAGAAAGCAGAATATATATTAGTGATACATTAATCTGGTAACGTAGTCCCATGGTAGATTGAAACATTTTTTCTTTATATTTATTGTATATAAAATTTACTGTTTGGTTATAGATGAAATACGAGAAACTGAGTCTTAAATCTTTGGCGAAGAGCGTCTGTTTTTCTGACTTGATGTTTTTACTAGCAGTAATTATTAATAGTTCTTTAAATGTCATTTTTGGTAACCCTCTTGTTGTCTACTAAAATTCATGCAAAAGTTGAGCCAATGAAATTTACCTATCTCCATATTAGTCTTCATTTTCTAGTGGCATAAATTAATCACAACTCTAACATAAAGAATATTATTGAATAAGACCATTGTTAGATTAGTTTGACATATAGAAAGTATGTTAAATTAGGGGGGAAAGCTATTAAATTAGAAGAATGGCATCTGTCACAAGCAATCAAAAAGTCAGCTTAGCTATAAGAGAAGAAAAGTTACTATAGCTATAGCAGTACAGCCTGGCATGGCTTAATTTTTTTGTTTTTTTAAAGATTGGCACCTGAGCTATTGCCAATCTTTTCTTTCTTTTCCTTCTGCTTTTTCTCCCCAAGTGCCCCCAGTACATAGCTGTATATTTTAGTTGTGGATCCTTCTAGTTGTGGCACGCAGGATGCCACCTCAGCATGACCTGATGAGCAGTGACATGTCCGCGCTCAGGATCCAAACCCTCGAAACCCTGGGCCACCAAAGTGGGCTGTGCGAACTTAACCACTGAGCCACAGGGCCGACCCCCACCTTAATGTTTATGAAATAAGTGGTGAGTTATTTTTAGCTCATCACTTAGCTCAGTCCCAAGTTTTTTGTTTCTTTTCTTTAAATTTTTTTTGAGGAAGATTAGCCCTGAGCTAACATCTGCTGCCAATCCTCCTCCTTTTGCTGAGGAAGACTGGCCCTGAGCTCACATCCGTGCCATCTTCCTCTACTTTATATGTGGGATGCCTGCCACAGCATGGCTTGCCAACCGGTGCGTAGGTCTGGGCCCAGGATCCAAACTGGCTAACCCTGGGCCACTGAAGCAGAACGTACGAACTTAACTACCATGCCACCAGCTGGCCCCCAGTCCAAAGTTTTTTGCTATTCAAAATAATTGATTACCTATGTAAAATTGAAATTTCAAGGACTAATTTTTTGCCAGCATTTCAATGAAATCAGTCTTCAGTTGCTTATTTCTTTTATATTTGAAGTAGTGATTTCTTACCAGATAAATTCTTTCAGCATTACAGATAAAATTTTACTAGTTCAGTCTCTTGAGATAGCAAAATAAACATCAGTATAATTGAGCACAAGCATAAGAATATAAATTTCTGAGTTTTCCTTTCTTTTAAGTGATGTTAAGCTTTTAAAAGTTTAAAATGTCACTTAGCTTAAAATGTCAAAGATTACAGCAAAAAAAAATCAGTATTCTAAGATGCCAAAGGTATTTTAATAAAGAGGTACAGTTCATTTGGATTTTTTTCCCAAAACATCAGTAATTTAATTTATGTCTATATATAATGCATAGCTTTTTCTCTCTCTCTGATTTTTGTAGGTTCTGCCGGAGACTTACATTTGGCCTCAACGTGAAATGAAAGTAGAAAATCGTATCTACATATGTATTGCTGTTAGGATGTTGATTCATTGGTCATGCCTGAGGAGGGAAATTCTGTTCTAGATGGCTGACTGCCAGCAAAAATAAATGCTTATCCTAGATGTCAAGCATCTCTCCTTTTTACTGGAGTGAAAATCCCCTCCAGATACCAACAGAACATCAACTGCAGAAAATGCTCCGCATTTTAAGGCTGTCAGCAACCTAACTTCATGCGCCCTGTCTGTACAGTTGTTGTGGATGGTTTACCATCTGAAAGCTCCACAAGCTCACATCCAGGTCCTGTATCTGCTTCTGAAATGTCTCTGCTCCATGCTTTGGGTCCAGTGCAGACCTGGCTGGGACAAGAGCTAGAGAAATGTGGCATTGATGCCATGATTTATACTCGATATGTCCTCAGTCTTCTGCTGCATGACAGCTATGACTACGACCTGCAGGAACAGGTATTTACATATTTTAAATGTGTTGTGGAAATTCCTGATTGTGTCTACATGTTTGCATTTCTCTTCAAAGAGCTCTTCTGTACTCTACAACAGGATGTAGACTGCTGTGGTCCACAGGCTTACCCTGTCAGTGAACGTAAATGAGCCATGCCACGAAGCACACCGTTTAGTTCACTTACTTTTCTCCGCACTTATTAGACTTTCTCAGTGTCGGTTACGTTCTGGCTCAGACCCTGGGCCTTGTCATGGACCCTTTGCTGCCTTTGAGTAGCACTGCTCCAGAATGTTGTTTTCTGCTGTTTAGAAATGTGATACATTATGACTACACGTTTTAATCATTGTGTCTGTTATACTTCTTAACATTCCAAAGTGTAATATTTCATTTCATCCACAAGAATGAGGCTAAACAGCTTATTAATCAAAGTGTGTGTTACAAATCAGCAGACCTAAAAGTTTGATAAAGCACATATCTTTGCCGTAAGTCATGTATATCACCTGGTGAGTCGGCCATTCCACATTTTATTTGACTTAGGTGCTGAGATTAAAGTGAGAAAGCACCAATCTAGGTTCTCAAAAAAATCTCAGCCTCAGTCTCCCCATCCAAGAGGAGCTGCTGGAAATGAGGCTCACCAGAGGGAAGCAGAGTCATCACCAGTGAGCGAATGGGCTCTGGGCTACTCCTGGGTACACATTCTATATAAAATAGGGTGTTTGTGAGCAGTTTTGTTGTTGCTGTTTTAAACCATTGTTACTAAAACTGAAAGCACGAACAAAGTTTCACTGACGGAAGAAACCGGCTTTGCCCTTCCAAATCACAGAGAAGCTTCCGAGTCCTGCACCACGGAAGGCTCCCCCAGCATGCTTAACGTTGTCCCACCTCAGGGGCACTGCTGCTGTTTCTCATCCTTTCTACCTGGACACAGCGGCATTTGCCCTGCTTCCAGCTGGCTTACTGCCTTGGCTAGTGAGAATTGGGGCAAGAAAAATTTTCAGAGGACTGACTTAAAACCTGATAATGAGGAAATGTGTTATTTTGGTGGTCTATATTTTGTAAAATATTGTTTCTTGTGTCTTTATATTTTAATGTTCACAGTGTTGTGAAATCTTTGTTTATCAGGAGTCTGTGATTATCACAGAAAACCACCTTGGTCTCGCTTAAACAGAAGTCATAGTAAAAACGAGCATGTATGTCTATCCTGCACTGTGTGCCTGCCATGAATCTGAGCGCTCATTTTCCATGCACAGTAACTCTTTAACCTTCACAACAACCCTGTTCTGTTGTCCCTGTTTCATAGGTGGAGGTACTTAGAGACAGTGGCTAAGTAACTTGCCCAAGGTCACACAGCTAGTAAATTTTGGCACATTTATTGGTTCAAAAGCTTGAAATGTCCAGGGAGGGGCTAGGGCTGGCCTCAGTGGCAGCTTGATCCAAGGCCTTCAGTAGAATCAGTGCCCCATCTTGAAGCTTGCCTTCTCTTCTCTGTTGCCTTTATTCTCATGCTTCACCCCTCTGCTTCCTGCTGCAGGCCCAGACTCCCACCCCCATGTCTACGCCCAGCAGGAGGAGCGGGCCTCTTGTCACGGTCATGGCCCTGTCCCTGACCTGACTGCTGTGATGAGCGGGCTTTGGTGGCTGGGCTATAAGCGCCTGAAACTGCAGGGACTAAGGATTGGAGAGGATAACGCCCCAAAGGAAGTATGGAATGGTTAGGGAGAGTGCTGAACCTTCAAAAAGAAGTCCTCTCTAAATAACTATGTACCAAGTAGCGCTTCCTTTCTGTTACTGTCTCTCCTTCTTAAATTTTAGGAAATGCTCCCTGACTGTGCTGTGCTCTGAGATTTGGGCTTCAAACAGATAAACCATTTTCTAGTGTTACCCCCTCTCCATGATTTTGTTCTCTTTGCTTTTTCGAGGAGTTTTATCTTTGCACACTTCTCCTGAAATTGTCCTTTCATGATAGGCCCTCGATCTCTGTGATTGCTTTTGGTGTTCTCATGATGTTAGATTGTTTTAGGTCCCAGAACTTCATTAACTGTTCCAGATACAGAGCAACCATGGATTCTATATGAGAATAAAAGAGAGGTTTTTTTCCCTTAAACTTTTTATTGTGGTGTACAATGCATACAGACAAGGGTACAAATCGGTGAATTTTTACAAAGATCCTATCTATGTAATTACACCCAGATAGGTAAATAGACCTTTATGTCGACACAGAAGCCCCTTATGCCCCCACAGCCTCAGAGTTCCTCAGGTGTCCAGAGGGGAGTCCAGCAGAGTGTGGCCTCTGTTTACCACCCACCCTTCTGGCATCCTGGCCCCTGAATCTCAAGTGTTTTCTCTCCAGCCCTGAGAGACTGCCCCCAGCTCCACTGGTTTCTTTGCCTCGTAAGTGGCCACATTTGTCTCAGCCTCTTGCCCTGGCCTAGAATGGGTATGTTTCCCAAGAGAGAAAGCAGCCTCAGATGTCACTGCCCCGTGCCAGCAGCTTCCCCTCCCTGGGTCAGTTGTCCCTCCTTGTCTTCTTAAGGCTTGCGTGCTTCAACAGGTCACTAATTCCTTAGCACAGGTGTTGAAGGTTTGTTTCGGTTTTATATTTTATCTGGCTTTTCTGGTTAGTCTGGACAGGAGAATTGGTCTGCTGCCAGTTACTTTTTCTTTTTTTTTTTTAAAGACTTTATTTTTTAGAACAATTTTAGGTTCACAGTAAAATTGAGAGGGAGGTACAGAGACTTCCCATGTACCCCGTCCCCACATGTGCATAGCCGCCCCCATTATCAACATTCCCCCCCAAAATGATACCTTTGTTAGAATCGATGGACCTACGGTGTCGCATAATCACCCCAAATCCATAGTGTACATTAGGATTCACTCTTGGTACTGTACGTATTCTCTGAAAAATGTGTAATGACATGGATCCACCATTATAGTGTCAGAGTCTTTTCACTGCCCTAGAAGTCCCCTCTGCTCACCTGTTCACCCCTTCCTCCCCCCAAGCCCTGGCAGCCGCTCATCTTTTTACTGCCTCCATAGTTGTGCCTTTTCCAGAATGTCATATAGTTAGAATCATACAATATGTAACCTTTTCAGATTGGCTTCTGTCATTTAGTTAATATATGTTTAAGGTTCCTTCATGTGTTTTTCACGGCTTGATAGCTTATTTCTTTTTAGCACTGAATAATATTCCACTGTCTGGATGTACCACCATTTATTTATCCAGTCACCTACGGAAGGACATCTCAGTTACTTCCAAGTTTTGGCAGTTAAAGTGAAATAAATTTTTGCTATAAATATCCAAGTACAAGTGTTTGTGTGGACTTGAGTTTTCAGCTCCTTTGAGTAAATAACAAAGAGTACAATTGCTGGATCATATGGTGAGAGCATATTTGGTTTTGTAAGAAAATGCCTAACTTTCTTCCTTCCAAAGTGGCCGTACCGTTTTGTGCTCCCGTCAGCACTGAATGAGCATTCCTATTGCTCCACATCTTCATCAGTGTTTGGTGCTGTCCGTGTTTTGGATTTTGGCCATTCTAATAGGTGTGTAGTGGTATCTCCATTTTAATTTGCATTTCCCTGTTGACGTATGATGTGGAGCATCTTTTCATCTGCTTATTTGCCATCTGTATATCTTCTTTGGTGGAGTGTCTGTTGAGGTCTTTGGCCCATTTTTTAGCCGAGTTGCTTTCTTATTACTGAGTTTGAGTTCTTTGTATATTTTGGATAAGTCTTTTATCAGATGTATCTTTTGCAAATATTTGCTCGCAGTCTGTGGCTTGTCTTCTACTCCTCTTGACATTGTTTTTCACAGAGCGGTTTTTACTTTAATGAAGTCCAGCTTACCCAATTTTTCTTTCATGGATTGTTTACCAGTTGCTTTTTAAAAGAGGCTATTTATTTGTTTACTTGTTTAGTTTGGTGTCTGTTTTGCTTGTCTCATCCTCTCTTTCTTTGACCACCATATTTAAAATAGAAGCCTTCCATTCTCGGTCCTCTTTCCTACTTTATTTTTCTTTATGACGCTTGTTACTACCTGAAATTGTATGATTATTTGTGATGTAATTATTTTTTATTTATTTGTATGCCTCCTCTGCTGGTATATACAATTCTTGAAGTGAGGAACCTTGTCTGCCATGTTTTCTGCTGTATTCCCAGCCCTTAAAACAGTTCCTGGGACGTAGAAGATGCTCAGAAATTTATTGAACAAACAAATACATGTATCCTTCTTTCTCAGCTCGTGTAGGGGAAGCATGACCAGGGTGGGTGCAGATGCTGTGGCTACACACTGGGGCCTGCCCTTCAGGAAAGTTTCTGCAGTTTCTCCCCCAACCTCTGGTGTGTTTTGATTGTGGTAAGATACATACAACATAAAATTGGCCATCTTAACCATTTTTAAGTGTACAATTCAGTGGTATTAAGTATATTCATATTCTTGTGTATGCCTTCAACACCATCCATCTCCAGAACTCTTTTCATCTTGTGAAACTGAAACATTATACCCTTTAAACAATAAGTCGGCATTCTCCTCTCCCCCCAGCTGCTGGTGACTACCGTTGTACTTTCTGTCTTTATGATTTTGACCACTCTTAAGAACCTCATATCTCTGGAATCATACACTGTCTTTTGTGACTAGCTTATTTCACTTTAGCATAATGTTTTCAGGGTTCATGCATGTTGTAGCATGTGTCATGATTTCCTTCTTAAGGCTGAATAAGAATCCATTGTATGGACATGCCGTATTTCACTTAGGTGTCTGTCAGTGGACACTTGGGTATCTTCCACATTTTAGCTGTTGAGAGTAACGCTGCTGTGAACATGGTGTACAGATACCTCTTTGAGACGCTGCTTTCTGTTTTTGGAGGAATATACCCAGAAGTAGAATTGCTTGATCATGTGGTAATTCTGTTTTTAATGTTTTGAGGGGCTGGTCAGTAGTTGCACCATTTTACATTCCCATCAATAGTTTGCAGGGTTTCAATTTCTCCACATCCTCACCAACACTTGT